ACTCGCTTACCGACGCGGTACGGGGTCGACGAGCCAACTATCGGCACCACGATATCATCCCGCGCCTTCGAGGAATGAAGTGTCGACTGTACAACCTGTATTGGTCAGTCCTCCTTTCTGGGATTGTCTCTTTCTGTGTCTCTACAATATCTTACACATTTGTGAATGAAACTGATTGACTCATAACGCACAACAGGTAAAACAACTCGACGCCGACCTCCTCACATCCCTCGCCTTCCTCCACCGTGCGCTCGTAACAGCGTCAAAAGCGGGCCACGTCCGATTATGGGTACGGCCACTCGTCATGGCTAATCCTGGCCCTAGGAGAAGGCATACGCGTGGGACGTTGTCTGTGACAGATTTTCAGGGGGTAGTCCCTTGAGTCGGGTTCGTAGTGATTCGATTTCAGTTCGTGGTGGTTGGACTTTGTGTTGGCGACCTCGCGTGATTCAACTTCGGCGTCGTTGGGAAGTGGAGATGAGCGACGAGAATCTAACTTATTTGTGGATTATGTATATCTGTCAAGTAGATCTCGCATGCACACGTACCAGGACTTATCGATACCACCCATAATTTCATCGTTTTTCTCTGTCCTGCTCTGAGTGTGGTGTATCAAGCATCACTCGACCTCTCCTCTAAATCGTCCGTCATGTCATTCACATCCTCCGCTTCACTTGCTGTCCCCGCCTCACCCTCCTCATCCATATCTTCCATGCTCGCGTCCAAATCAGCTCCTGAATCGTCGTTCTCCTCGCCGTCCTCGTTGATCGAAGGGCCGCCGCCTGATTGACCTGTATCAGAGCCATCCGAATCGTCTTCTGCCTACAAATACATTGACGATAGTTTAACAAAAGCAAACTCAAACGAAAGAAGAACAAACCAACGCACCTCATTCTTCTCCTCCAACAGCGTCGTATGCCGCCCAATAGGAACGAGCCACTGAAACCCTCGATTCCTAATCACCAAGTTCTATTTCAGTGTTCACGAAATGCATTGACGGCGGAGTCAGGAATCGCATCGCATTACAGAAATGAAGAGGGGACGTACAGCATCTTCAAGTTCGTTCTCCTCATCTGAGAGATCGTCGATTTCGCGTTGGAGATCGCGTCGGGTGTCCATACGCCCGGGGTAGCGATCGAGTTTGGGGAGTGGGGTTGGGTTTACTTGGGGTGCGCGCGGGAGGACGAGGGGGGTGATTGGAGGGCGGGGGACGAGTGTTGGGGATGTGATGGGCATGGTGGTGGTGGAAGACGATTGCGTGACAAATTTGGTATTGCTGACTTGAGGCTACCTCAACTTTCTTACATATCTTTGAATTTCAGATTAGTGACTTGGTTTATGTGTAACACTAGTACTGTATATACGTCTGTATTTTCTCTCAACATGATTGACGCTATTTATCTCTGCAATATCTAGACTTTCAGTGCCCTGCAGAGTTCCGCACAACACAGTCGTATACACAGAGTTGCATGGCTGGGCCTCACAGAAAGGCATCAAAAAGTAGTCCAAGAACAGAGAGGAATCTTAGCGGCAGGACTTGTTCGTCGCGATCCGAGAGATCCGTGAAGCACATAGCAAGGATCACCGAGCAGTAACCTCCGCAAAACGTTCAGCACCCAGCGGAGTGGCAGGTCCGCTAGTTGCACTGGCAGTATGAGCATCTGCACGTTTGGTCACAGGTGTGGGTCCGCCGACAATATTAGACGCATCATTAGACGTGGACTTGCTAGCGAGGAGGACATGGGTGCATTAGATGTCGTTTCCCGCTGATGGCATTAGCGGTGTGTTGTAGAGTAATGTCTTGACAAAAGATGGACTCGGGAGCTCGGGAAAAATTATATATCCACCTCGCGTTGGGAAGACATCTACGATGGGAATTCTGCAAGGGTATACAGCAGAGGAGCGAGAAAAGATAGGTTCATGATGTTCTTGATGCGGGAGCCTTCTATACGACGCTGCAACATTGTAGACGCGGAGCGGTTGTTGCGCTAACGTGAGGAATGGATATCACACTGTGAGGAGCGTTATAATCTGTGACATGGATCTGTACCACGAAGGAAAAAAACGCACGCGGTACCCCAGCACATGCTGGGCGAGGCTTAGAACCTAGGATGATCTCTTGCGGAATTGATGTTAGGACCATTGCGAAGGATGACTGTGGAAGCCTATCTCAAGGACTTTGTGTACGAACTGCTACATGACATATCAGCATGAATTTATGGCGTGATGGAAGAATTTCCTCGCCTGCTGGAACTCCTCCCGTGAGTCGCTCTAAGGAACTATGCATGTACGAACGAGATTGTCGCGACAAGCCGTTATCAGAAGCAAACATGCAGTGAACGCCATCGAGGTGCTCGAGTGGCACGCCAATTGGTTCGAATGTGATCGGGTCAACGAACCGTGTTATCTTGTTAAATGATGCCAGTAAATGTGTGCACGTCAAACTGCTTGTTGGTGTCACCGGTGGGAGCATCTGAGACTTGAACGTAGCTCAACTGACGAGACGCAGACCATCAGGCCTCAGAGGTGAATGCGACCCACCATGCCCGATGTTGTATCTTCATCAGCTCTTCTCCGTTTGCTGCATTCCAAACGATCAGGTGTGCTTACGTGTCTGCTGCTAGTTTGTCACCATCCGGAGAGAGTTTGCTGGGCTGTTATCCACTTGGAATGGCCCAAGGATTATTTCGCCCGTCTCCTTCCACACGCAGACTGTCTCATCCCATGATGCATTCGAAAATGTTTTGCCGTTTGGTGCAAAACAGACAGCCATGCATGATGAACTATATTCTCATGGCTTTTGAATGTGCGCACGCTAGGTTTGTTTGTCGCAACTTCCCTGGCCAGGGTGATTCTAGTCATTCCACCGCCCATTAGGAACACTTTAACTGTCCTAAGTTCATCATTTTGACCCAACAAGGGCCTCCCCAACTTGTTGCCTTGTCCATATCCCGCATCCGAAGACTTTTGTCGTGAGAACAAGTGACAAGGGGGGTGAAATTTAAAAGCCTAAGCGTCAGTGATGAGTGACCATGACCCTCGAATGACATTTTACCCACATGTGTTTCCTTTTGAGCTAGTGGGTCGGGCATTTTGGAGGATATGTCACCTTCGTAGGTGAGGACGCCATTGAATCTTGTATTGTATTTAACTATTTTGGTCCGCCAGTGAGCGCTAGTGAGCTGCAGTCAAGGTGCATCTCTGCCGTAAGATTGCGACTGCCGTTGACACGTGTGTGTTCCTCATCAAACAGTTTAGTTCTGAACTTCTTGGCAAGGTTGTTGCCCAGTCCGTAACACCGTGGTTGGCTGTGTGTGCGCTATCAGAAGATCCAAAAAGAATCACCCTTTCCGCGCGGCGACCAAGCTTGCCAGTGTTTGTCGCAACTTTCCAGGCCAGGATGATTCCACAGCCTAGAGTCGGGACGCTTTAACTGTCCTAAGTTCATCGTGACCCAACAAGGGCTCCCCAACTTGTTGCCCTGTGTCCATATCCCATACCCGAAGACTTTTGTCTTGAGAACAAATGACAAGCGGGATGAAAACTACACCTCTCACCCGACGTTGATGAGCGACTATGACCTCGAGTGTCGTCTCACCACGTTTCCTTTCGAGTTAGCGAGTTGGAATCTTGGAGGATATATCGCCTTCGTGGGTGAGGACGCCATTGAATCTTGTGCCATGTTTAACCATTTTGGTCCGCCAGCGAGCAACGATCAAGATGCATCGCTGTTAGGTTGCGACTGAATCATCGTATACGTGGCTTACTATTGGCACGTATGTGTTTCTCCTCAATCCTTTTGGTCCTGAACTTCTTGGTAAGTTGTTGCTTGCAGCCCCAGTCCGTGACACCGTGGTTCGCCGTGTGATGGGCTATCAGAAGATTCGAAAAGAATCACCCTTTTGCAAGTCCTAACTGAGACTCCAACAGATTAAGTTGATATGACAGTAGGTGTTTTTCTCGCATCCTAGCACTCCCTGTGTTAAATACTACGTTCAGGAATCAGCATGGCGGGTGCACTTTCAGCGTTTTTTCAGGTCTGGGACTTCGGGAGTGCATCTTCGTGGCAGGTACGGTACCTCTGACCTGACTTCCTGATTCCTGACTTCAGTTCATGTCGCTTAGCCATAGATGTGATCGGTGACTGTATTAGATGCCATGTGTTTGCTCAAGCTCGAAGATCTCCCCTTCCTAAAACGGCTCGTTTCAAGACTCAGCCATACCTCCAAACTCCCGAGTGCTTACTACCACCACCACCACCACCACCACCATCACCATCATACCCGATTCACTTACCCCGCCGTCAAAACCGACTCTCAGCCAGTCCACAATATGAAGGCCATAGTAAGCCGATTAAGGATCTTGCCTGGTTTCCGCATCTCGTATGTTCGCTTCCCTATTATGATAGTAATGCGTAATGAGATATGACAGATGCCCTTCTCTTCCTGCCCGTGGTGCCGGCGTGACGTGCTTTACATAAATAAGTCGAATGCACTTCCGATGACGTCCGTCTTATCTCTTTCCACTCCTCCAATCAGTCATGCTATATCTCCCTGACCTGCTCATTTCTGGCAACACGCAGCTCTTTCTCGGTGCTACAGCTTGCGTTGGGGCTATAGGAGTGATTATCTGTACTTACCTCCGTAAATCCCGCCTTCCTCCTTCTCTCCCACTTGGCGGCTTCGGGGACATTTCCTACCCCCTCTCAAGTGAAGTTTCATATTTGCTTCTTCATTTTTGTAATCTAATTTTACTCCATTGCTGATCAGGGCATCTCTCACTGTAGCACGGTGGATCGACGAGTATGGCCCTCTGGTTACTATTCGTTCAGGAATCCAGACCATCGTGATTATCGGCCGATACAAAGTTAGTCCCTTCATGATATATGATCACCTCCAGATCCAACACTTCGTGGCAGGCCGCGGTAGATATAATGGAGAAGCAGGGTAGAATGCTTGCTGATCGACCTCGCCTTGCTGCTGGAGAAATCTTACACGCGGACTGGACATCGTTTTGGCACACGCTGGGGACAGGTTCCGTCGGATGCGTAGGTTTGTCGCCGCGATACTGTGAAGGTTTAAACAACCCTCATCTTACTTTTAAATGCGGTGCAGAGTACTTCATACGCATCTTCAGCCAAAATTAGCTGAGGCTTATCAGCCTCTGCAGATGTCACAAGCTAAGCACGTAATCCTTAACATTCTTGACGATCCACACAACTTTCAGGACCATGTGGCAGTGTAAGCAGTTTCCTACACGCGGGGTCTGATAGTATGTTACTTACGGGTTCTTGGAAGTTATGCTGCAACGACGATCATGAAAGTTTCATATGGGAAGACCACGCCAACGTCAGCAACTGATCCTGAAATTGGAGAGGCCCGCCAGCTCATCAAGAGATTTCGTACAATATTGCGCCATGGTAATTACTTGGTGGACTCGATACCGTGGCTCAGATACCTTCCTTGGTATGCGCCAGAATTAAAGGACCAGTTTGAGAGAACCAGGCGACTCTACACAAACCAGCTGAACCGTGTGAAACTGCGCATGGTATGCATTGCCTTGCCTATCTTCACGTGATGTCTGAGTTGTTTCACAGCAGAGCAACGAGGACATCGGCCCTTCGTTTGCAAAACATATGTAGAAAATGGGCATCTCTATGGCTTGACAGAGATCGAGATGGCGTATCTTACTGGAGCGTTATTTGGAGCCGGAACCGACACGGTAAGACGCCTTCCTTTTTCCCGTTTGTATACACTGAGATGAGGTGTCAGACCGCCGTGGCGATATGCACGGTGCTAATGGCAGCCGCACATTTCCCTGAAGAGCAAGCTAAAGTTCAGGCCGAACTTGATGCAGTCATAGGAAGGGAGCGAGGTAGCTCAATTTCGTATTGCAGTTCTCCCAATTGAATGGTTCCTCTGTCAAAGCACCGACCTTCGCTGACAAATCGTCCCTTCCTCATCTGGAGGCCTTTATCTCTGAGGCTTTGAGATGGAGACCGTTGGCTCCCGAAGGTGGGTCTCTGAATGGTCGGTCCTGCACCTGAAATCTACAGTCCACCCCACAGGATGCCTCACCGAACAACTGAAGATGTCATTTGGGCAAGTAGTTTCTG